CGTAATTTTTATAAAATATCATTTAAACAAAAATATATAATTATATAAAACTATTTTTAAAATTTATAATAATTTTTTTCAGAATTCACACTTCAAAATCTATTTTTAAGGAAAATAAACGAACTCTTTAATGGGATAATGGAATTCCTTTAGGTGAGATGGCCTTTCGGGCCTATTTGGCTAATTGGGCTGGAATATGAGCTCACCTACAAAAGTAGTTTGATGTTCCTTTGTGGGCAAATAGCCATTTTCAGATGGCCAGTTAAAATTATGATTTGCAACTCATGTTAAATTACTCTTTAAATTTTTAAATATTTTAATTTTATATTAAACTATGACTTGCTATGAATTGATATTCAAACTTTTAGAAATTTTAAATTTATCTCTAAACTATAACCTTCATTCTAAAGTAATCCTTAAACTTTTGAACATTCTGATTTCATCATCAATTATCCGATATATGCTAAATATTTCATCTGTTAATAAAATCATTACAAAATTGTTAACTTTTATGTAAACACTTATGTGTATTATGTAATAATATGGTGTTTCAAAAATGATAACTAATGTTAGGTTTAAATAAAATAATAATTTACCTTTGAGAAGTAGGAATAATTATAATCAAATCGAGAGAACAAAAATAAAAATAAAAAAACCTTTCGACTTCATTCTAAATAAAGATTCGAGGACGTGGTACAACATTAATCTTTGTTTATGCCACATCGTATTATTACGTAACACACATCATAGTTTACATGACATCTAATAATTTTTTTAAAAGATTTTATTAACATGAGCCATGATTAGTATGTAACTGTAGTTCATGAGGAAATTAGAACATTCAAAAGTTTAGAGACCAGTTTAGAATGAGGGTAATAGTTTGGAATGAAATTGGAATATTCAAAAGTTCAGGGGCCAATTTATGATGAGAGTCATAGTTTGAGGATGAAATTAAAACATCTAAAATTTTAAAGATCAATTTAAAATGAGAATAATTGGTTTGAGGACATATGATGCAATTAACTCTTGTGATTATACTAGTGCAACCCAATTCAGGTGAGCGTGAACTTCAATGCTGAAATGAAGAAATTGGTAATTAGAAACAACTGATTACAAAATAATTCAGAAACAGAGGTTCAACTTCTGGAGTAAGGAAATTATGCAGTGCTATTGTATCCTTTGCTTTCTTTACTTGAAGGTTGATATTCCTCCATTTACATATTCTTTTCTATTTTGAAAATGGTTCGGTAACAAGCAATGCAAAGTTTCCCTGCAAAGCATATGTGCCCTTAAATAAGCAAACTGAGCCTTACAAAGCATTGCTACAAAATGCTTTGAAGTAAGCCTTTCTGAAATTAGTTTTTTAAAGCCATTTTCTAATGGATTAATTCCCTAATTAGCCCCTTAATTATACCCGATTTTCACTTAGGTACTTCAAGTTTCAATACCACTTATAATAAGGAAAAAACCTTAAATTGTTTAAAAGCCTATTATGATATTGTTACATGCTACCTATATTATTCAGATTTTTCATTTTTTACATGCTTTTGATATATATTCAAATAATAATACATAATTATACTCATATATATTCATATTTGTCACTCGTCTTTAAACCCGTATTTTATAAATTAAAAATAACCATGCAATATGAGGTTAAAAAAGTGTCTTTTCCTTTCCTTAACGGTAAAGCTTGGTATTGTATGTAGGATTAGGTTGGTACATACCTTTCAATCCCCAAGCTTTGAATTATTTTAAGATCAAATCGGATATGGGAAGTTTCTTTCAATATTTTGCTTATTAGTATAACAATCTCAACCTCAACGACTGTCAATGGCAACTCAAAGTCTCTTTCAGTATTTTGCTTACAAGCTTTGACATATCAAAGACTCCTTTGCAATTCTTTTTCCTAATCAGCTTCATTCTCTTGTTCTTAACAAATTGCCATAATTCACCTCTTTTTTAAAGCTTATATAAATAACTAATATGCTTCACCTTCATGTCTCACATCCATACAAGCATTGACATTTTCAAAGTTTTAGCTTGGCTCGAATGGAAATCGGTGGCGATTCCTTTTCAAAAACGACCCTTTTTCGTTGGTTTCATTGCGTTCATTACTTTTCCGGCAGAAGCTGCTGTGAGGAAGTACCAGTTTGATGTGAGTCAACTAAAAAATGGACGTTTCATTTGTTTAAATTGTGATTTCGACTTGGAAATGATGTGTTTTTGAACAGATTCGAGTGAAGAATGTTAGCAGACTGTGCCATGCAAAGCCGATTGTGACGGTTAACGGAAGGTTTCCAGGGCCTACAATATATGCTACTGAGGGAGATAGAGTTATTGTCAATGTTACGAACTATGCAAAATATAACAGTCGATTCACTGGTAGGATTTTAATAAATTATATGCAGAAAACAAATTGAAACAAAGATTTCTTATAACGTTGTTTGATGATCTGTTTAGGCATGGATTGAAGCAATATCGAAACGGTTGGGCGGATGGACCGGCTTACATAACGCAGTGTCCGATTCAGACTGGGAATAGCTACGCTTATGACTTCAATGTAACAGGACAAAGAGGAACTTTATGGTGGCATGCACACATTCTTTGGCTAAGGGCTACAGTGTATGGAGCCATTGTCATCATGCCGAAACCAGGAACGCTGTTTCCGTTCCCGAAGCCGAATATGGAACAGATTGTTGTATTAGGTCTGTTCTAAAGTCTATCTTTTCCAATTGTTTTTATAAGTTCCTTGTTGTGAAGATGATATGATGGTGAAAACTGTGTTCGTGGTGCAGGGGAATGGTGGCACAAAGATGTTGAAGAGATTGTCAAGCAAGGAAGTAATATGGGATTGCCACCAAACATGTCGGATGCACACACTATCAATGGGAAACCCGGACCGCTTTTTCCATGTTCCGAGAAACGTAAGCCGAAATTCAAAGAAACTTTTGTCGAAAAACATGTTTTTACATGCAATGCTCAGTGTTCAATCCTGAATGTTTATGTTTTTCAGATACATTTGCGATGGAAGTCGAATCCGGGAAAATGTACCTGCTAAGAATTGTTAACGCTGCCCTCAACGATGAGCTTTTCTTTGCGATAGCAGGTCACAACATGACAGTAGTTGAGGTCGATGCGGTTTATACAAAGCCGTTTGTCACTCAAGTAATACTAATTGCACCGGGGCAAACTACGAACGTTCTCGTTCGAGCCGACCAATCCCCTGGCAGATATTTCATGGCTGCTAGGCCTTTCATGGATGCTCCACTTCCTGTAGACAACAAAACAGCTACAGGGATATTCCAATACAAAGGAATCCCCAACACTGTTCTTCCTACTCTTCCCCAATGACCAGCTCCCAACGACACAGATTTCGTTTTGAGTTACAACAAAAACCTGAAGAGCTTGAACTCTGCAAATTTTCCCGCAAATGTGCCCATTAAAGTTGACCGAAAACTATTCTACACGGTCGGTTTGGGCAAAGATCCTTGCCCGACATGCGTTAACGGAACGAGAATCTTAGCCTCATTGAACAATATTTCCTTCGTGATGCCTAAAATCGGACTTCTCCAAGCTCATTACTTCAACAGTAGTGGAGTTTTTAGAATCGATTTCCCTGATAAACCTCTTAAGCCATTTAACTACACTGGTGCACCTTTGACAGCTAATCTTGGCACTGCACATGGGACAAGGCTTAGCAAGATTACCTTCAATTCTACAGTTGAGCTAGTGCTGCAAGACACTAATCTCCTTACAGTTGAGTCACATCCATTCCATCTTCATGGCTACAACTTCTTTGTAGTTGGAACCGGTATCGGAAACTTTGATCCTGTCAAAGATCCGGCTAAGTACAACTTGGTTGATCCTGTTGAAAGGAACACCGTCGGTGTTCCGACCGGGGGTTGGACCGCTATTCATTTTAGAGCAGACAATCCAGGTAATAAACTCAATCTGTTTTCTTTAAAATATTCATGTCTGATATAGAAAACATGGAATCGTGTTACATAAACTTTAATTTCTTTGGATTTTTCTGGTTTAGGTGTTTGGTTTATGCATTGTCATTTGGAGCTCCATACAGGATGGGGATTGAAAATGGCATTTGTGGTTGAAGATGGAAAGGGAGCTGATAAATTAATTCTGCCTCCACCCAAGGATTTGCCACCATGTTAAACTGTTGAAAAAGTTTCTCAAAGTTCGACAAAGACCAAGTTTGTGTATAAAATGTATCTTCTGCTTATATGCATGTGTGTATAAAGTATGCGTCTTCTGCAAAAGTTGCAGTACATACCTTGAGTAACAAAATTTAAGGGAAAAGATAGTAAATTTCTACTTGTTTTATACTCACAATTGTAATATGAGCTCCAAGAAAGGTTCAATGTTTTAGTTATGTAGCTTGAGTTGCAATCAATTATTGGAAAAGAAAAATATTATTTATTGTAGATTTCTTGTCAAACAATCTACCTCATCGAAGATTTCGTGTATTGAAAGAATGCACCGGTATAATAGGCGCTGGTGCCATGGTTTCCTTCGGGGCCATTTTGGAAGAAATATCAGAATACAAGAGAAACAAATGAAGTACTCGTAGGGTTCATCTTTGTTTAGCAGCGAAACATTCTTTCAAAAAATTATGAAGCTGAGATGAATATATGTTGGGAAAAGTCCGATAATGGTTGACGTGAGGAGATGTGCCAAAGTTGAAGGAAAATACTTTTACTCCCTTCTTTCTCAGCTTTTCGATACTCAACTCGATTGATTTATAGTTGACGATCTTATCAGCTGTGCTATAAAGATACAGCTGAGGACAGGGAGGAGGCTGCTCCATGACTGCATTGACAACTTTTCTTAACCTTCTGCATAATGAGGGATCAAATCTTTAGTAACATCAGCTAAAGAACTCAAGTTCATAAAAACAAAAACCCAAAGCTTGGATCTTATTAATTCCATTGCATGCTACTTAACTGAAATTCATAATTTTAGATAAAGATCAAAACTGAAATTCATAAGTCAAAAACTATACTTAACACCAAAGCATCAAAATTAGAACTCAAAGAATCAACATACAAAAAAAAAACCTTAGGATTAAAAGGGTCAGCTGCTCCTGAATCAATAATCACTCCTTTTATCTTCTCTCTCAATCCATCTCTTCTCTGAAAGCTATCAAGAAGTGAACCATATCTGCCCAAAAACAAAAAATACCCAAATTTACTTTCAACAATCAAAATTTAAAAAATGAAAAAAAACCCCTTAATTCATTAAACTTACATCAACCAGCCAGTGTTGCTAAAAGCATGGAAAATGAAGCACCTTTCACGACCATATTCCTCTTTCTCCAAAACCCACTTGGCCAACTCATTTCTCAATTCAGATATACGCTGCTCGAGCCTTACACCGAGATCAAACCATAGCAATTCCTTAACATCTACTACAAAAGTAACCGCATGGATTCCTCTTAAATTGTGCCATTCAACGTACCTCTTTAAATGCTTGGTTTTAGCCCCTAGCCATCCCAAAACAACCACTGTTACGACCTTATCTTTGCACCCAAAGGTTTCAGCTTTTCCATCGCCACTGATAACAACATCTGGCGCTTTGTTCCAAGCCACGACCTTGTCGTTTGCGTTGAAAGAAAAAGAATGAATGGGTTTTGCAGAAACTCTGAAATAGGCGTCGCTTTTTAGCCTTCGAGGGAGTTTGCGAAAATGGGTTATTGCAACTTTAGTGAGAAACGGTGATGTTGGAGGCGATTTGGTGATGATTGAAGAAGAACAGAGAGCGTTAGAGGAAGCAGCTCCCATGGTGGAAATTTTGAGCCGAGGATTTATAAAAGGGAAAGATTTATATATCGGCTGTTTCCGCATTGAAAGTATCTACAAAAGGAAACTCAAAGACACTGAGTAGTGTGTGCCGAGGGGATTAGAGAAGTATCTACTCGATCGAAAATATATTGGTTCGCTGATTTTACTAAGATTAAAAACGGGGTAAAACTATAATGTTAGTCACTGAACTTTTAGAATATATTTATTTTAGTCAGAAACGTGTTGAAACTTATATTATAACTATGTGCAAAGTCAAAAAAAATATTATTGTGTGATTTATTTTTAGAGTGGTATTAATATTATTTTTAATGAGTTTCAATTTTATTTTATTTTTTTTATAATAAATTCTATAAAATATTTTTTAAAAAGTTAATATTCAGTTGACTCCATATTATTAATTTTTTTTTTTACAAAAGCTAACAACATTTGACCATAAGAATTCTAATTCATCAAGGGGTTTAATCTTTGATTAAAGTTATTAAACATTTAATTCGCTTTCGTCACGGTCATTGTTGTCAGCTACTATTAGAAAATGTTGACATAAATCTTCTTCTCTAAAATCTTAATTTTCTAAATCGACATCCCTTGTAAAAGTTCAATTTTCATTAAACTATAAGATTGTCGATCAATTTAATTGTAATAATGTTTTATTTGGTCAAAAGATTAACATAGTTCATTTTTGAGTTGATCTGATTGTTAACAATGATGGATAAAAAAGTTTTAGTTTTCAGTTTTTATTGGATCGCATCCTCCTTTGGTCGTCGTTTCTATCGTCGTGCGGTAATTTCTTCGATTGAAGAGATCATCAAATAACTTCTTTTTCTCTTCTATTTTTTTTTCTTTTGGTTCAAATTCGCCGGAAAAATCTTTTAATCTCCTCACATCCTAAGTAAGTCTAATCAAAACTACAAGTCAAAACTTTTTTAACCATCATTATTAATCGTCGGATCAACTTGAAACCAAACTATGCTAATCTCATAGCCAAACAAATTCTTCCCGCCAATGAGATTGATTGATTATCACTCCATTCATTGAAAATTTAATCTTGACGGCAGCTATAAATTTAGAACCTTAGGGTTTTCTTACAAGAAGATTTTAACGTGTCGTATTAGCATTTCTTAATGGTAGATAATGATAATGACTAAAATGAAAATAAATTAAAAGTTCAGTGACTATAATATAATTTTTAAAAGTTTGATGACCAAAATAAAAATATCTTAAAATTTTAATGACTACTAATGTTGTTTACCCTTAAAAATAAAAGGTTAAACTTTGACCTTGTTCTTGTTTTAGTCACTTAGTTTTAATATTGTTTAATTTAATCACTCTACTTTTGAATTGTTCATGTTTTAGTCATTTAGACCTTAAATAATAAATAGTAGGGTGACGTGGATTGTTTTTGTTGATACAAAAAACACCTATCATCCATTTTTTTCATTTCATAATCTTTTGTTTTAGTTTTTTTCCTCATGTCACATTATTGTTGAAACCATCATACTTCAACATCTTCTCTGATCATTCTACATACCGACGAAATTGTTTCAACGTCTCCTACTATTCTATTAGATGAATCTCTCTTAAAAACTCGTAAACTTCAATCCAAACTTTAAAGGGAAATGACTTTAATCTATAATCTCCACTGTCTAATCAACATGGAATTACAATATATTGTTCATCCCTTCATTATCCTTTTCAACATTAGGATTTAGAAAAAGACGTTTTAACACCACAAAATTAAAGAGAATCCCAAAAATTATATTAAAATTTTGAGAAGGAATATTACAAAGGTATTTTCATAAATTTAAACGAACTTTTGATACTTTTTCATAGCTTAATAAAATAGATGCCCTATCACAATGGGTTTAAATTATTAATGATAAAGTGATCAAAGTACGAACAATTTAAAATTTGAGTGATCAGGTTAAAAGAAATTAAATTAGGTTATAAAAACAATAATACAATCAAAATTGAGTAATGAAAAGTGTAATTTTATGTAATAAAAAAATCAAAAATAATAAAGTTTTCATTTTTCAATGTTTATTTTGGGTCGAATTTGAAAGGTTAATGAAGAACCAATAATTAATAGGTCTAGTGGATGGGACGAGATACTAAAATCCATAAAAAAAAGTTAGAGGTCTAAATATTAAAGTTTGTAAATAAAACAAATTAAGTTGAAATGATTTTCGTCTTTATAATATCTAATTCAAATTAATCGATAGAGAAATAAAATATAACTAATTATAAAAAGAAAAGTCATACTCCAAACAGATTTGCCATTAATGATAAACGAACCTTTTACCATAAGTTTCCCTGACAATATTACTTTATCGCATTGTCAAATCCAGTTTTGCCTAACTGAAAAAAAGGTTGAAGTTAAGGATGCCGATCCTTATCTGATTCACCATCGAAAAATAATATATATAGAGATTGAATAGTAATTCAATTGATATTGTTCTTGTTGTAAAAATTTTAGATCAAAGTATTCATTTGGTTACTTAAATTCTAAGTTACTTTGATTTTGGTCACTTAAGGAAAAATATTTCAATTTAATTATCCCTGTAAAAAATTCATTTTGGTCACTATTTTTTTAATTTTAATCACTCGTTGTTAAATCACTTCGCGGATAATGACACGGTCTTTGACCAAATAAATACTCATCACAAAAAACACAATTTTATACATCTTCAACCTTTGATAACCTCTTTTTGCAGTCAATTCCATCGTCTGTTATCACAGTTCTAATCGATTAGAAAAATAATAAAAATACCTAAAGATTTGTATTTCAAAATCTATAGAAAAATTGAGATTCAAAATACCAATAATTTTCAAAAGAATATATACATATATGTGTATAAGAAAAAATATATAAAGCTAAAAAATTACCAAATCAATTACCGAAATATGAGAGTTAAAGCAAATCACCATAATTAATTAGACATGCTATGAAATTAAGGAAAAATCACAGAAAATTAAAAAGCAACGTAATTATTAAATTCCATTCGTAAGGATTTTCTGATACCATCAACATTGTTATATTAGCAGATGAAGTGGGTTAAGAACGAAAATAGATAAATATGATTGTTCAAATAGTGTAGTAACTTGACTGAAACTATTATAATAGACAATTGGGTTGGCTAGGAAATAAAACTAACAAGATGTTGAAGAGGGCTCAAATAGATTTTATTGCGATGGATCAAGGTATTTTTTTTAAATACTTGTTAGAATATTATAGATTTAATTGATATTATGTAATATATTATAAGATTCAGTTACACAATATAATATTTTCTAATTTTGCATTGATTTAGGACGATTAGAGAGCATGAATCATGATAATTTTAGAAAGTATAATATATTTCGATTTGTTGAAAATTTTAACTGATCATATAATTAAAAAATATCTCGACAAATTGATTATAGAAATTACTTTTAATAGTAATTTATGATAACATCTCTGTTAATTTAAAGTAATAACTGGACATTTTCAGCAATTGATTAAATATTTTAGTATTCATATGAATAATTTATCAATATATTACTTAGATATAATACATCTTATAAACAAATCTTATATTTATTGTCTACAATTTCTATTCCCAATAATTCTTTATTGCCGCTACTTTAACCACTATTACCTAAAAATAACACTAACAAAAATGATCGTTATAATATATACGGATTTTGACAGCCATCTTCCAACACTTTGGAGACATCTCACATATATATATAGAACTCGAAAACCCGAAATTGTCCCTTATAATAAAGGTTAAGTCCGACATTTCATTGCCAGCGTGGCATCTAGGAATAGCCAAAAGCAAATTCCTTCGTTCGAATCAGTTGCGGGGACATCTCTTTACTTCGCGCGCTCTAATCTGATCCGGTTCTCTCTCGACGCGCCACCGCTCCATCACTATCTCCGCCGCTCAGATCCCGGCTGTTTCTTCTATAAGTACATATAAGGTTATGAATCTCCTTCCTTTTTATAGATATGGAATTCTTTTTGTTTGGTTTTAGGTTTGTCGGGTTTTTTCCCTCCTTTTCCCTCCGTTTCTGGAATTAGCTACTCTTAATAGCTTTGTTATATTACGGAGGCATTGTGTTTTCCTTCTTCCATTCCTTAAAACGTCTGTGCTTTACAATTTATTTTTTCATTTTTTGGATTCATCAAATAGTGAACGTGAATTTTCTTTATTTTTCTATTCTGTTTGGTTGCTGTTAAAATCAAGAGGAATGCTCATGCTTTTCACTTTAGCTGTTTCTAATAGCACAGGTTTTCGATTCACTTTTTCATTTACTCGTGCTTATATAGAGATTTTATATATTTAATGCAATGCAACATTTAATTTAGCTATATGATTTTCAAAACCAGCCTTTAGTTTTTTTTTCTGAGAAAACTATTGTAACAATATTGCTGTAACCCCCAGACCGATGCAGGTAGCCCGATCCGATCCAGGAAGTCACATTAGGGCCACCGGAGCGACCCACTGTAAGAATAGCGGAAAATTTAAATCTTTTTATCCGAACATGTAAACTTATAAAATCATTTGTCACTATTTAAAAATAAAACATATTTCCCAGACTCGTATATAAATCAAAATACAATTACATGCCCCCTATTCACATGTACCATACTCTACTACAACGCCGGAAAAACTCCCTTACTGAAGTCGATAGATGCACTGGTACAATTCTTTTAACCTGAAAAGGTGAGTAATAGAGTGAGCTTCAAAAAGCTCAGTAATACAGAACTACCAGATGATGCTGAAAAACGTGCAGATACAGATAAACATATTTTCCTTATTGGTTCAGATATTTACAGATCTTTATGTTGAGCTGAGGTTCATTGATATCGCATGTAGTAACAAATAGTATTCATTTCAGATGGAAATATTTCGGATGTCTAGGTTCAGGAGATCAGAACAGGTTTTCTAGTGTGTTCCCAAAAATCATGTAACTTTTCAGATCTTTTTTTAAAAACATATATATATATATACCCCCATCCAACAAGTCCAAGTTGTGTAGGTTCCCCAGAACCATACACCCACCATCAAGTCCAGTTGGCCCTGAGCACACAGCCGAGGAACCGGTAAATAAGGCCCTGAGCACACAGCCGAGGAGCCTCCAGGAATACTTCCTCCAACATTACCCCCCAAGTAAGATATGTCCGTCCGTAAAAAGATATATCAAAAATCAAAACATAAATCAGGTCAAGTATCATATCAGAAATCAGGTCAAGTAACAGATCAGAATCCAAGTCAGATATCATATCAGAATCCATGTCAAGTATCAAATCAGAAATCAAATCGAAAATCAGGTAAAATATTCATGTGAGTAGGGAACACACCAGAATTTACAGATAGTATTCAAAGATATTGGATAATCTTAACAAGTAGGGGAACACGGATCTTTAGTATACCGATAGAATATCGGAATTATGAATCACTATTGGAAGAGTTCAATAACTGACAGAATCATCAGTTATTCAGAAAGTGACTTGAGCTGATAAGGAAGAAATGAAGGTTCAGGACATTTATATTATCTATCGATTGATCGAATTATCGGACAACTCTTAGATGAATAGTTTCCAGAACTAATGACTGTCGATTGGTCAATTCATTGTTCTTCCAGGGTATTTACTCTTTAATACCACAATTCTTGTCCATAGACCATTTTCGGAATCATTGTTGAATAGATCTTCCAATGTCTTTATTTCATTTCCACACTTCTACAATATCATGAAATGCTGACGTACTTGATTAATTTGTTCAAACTCATTGTAATTGTACACTACGTAAACTCATCAGAGTTTCCAGACTTATCCAAGTCACTTACTAAATCCTCAGTCATTGAAGTTACCTATTTCATTAGCAGTCATCTCTATTCCAGTTACTTCAGGATTTTCCAGAGTAATTCAAACGTTCCTGAATTTCAGATACATGTTGTACTTCCATTCCATTCAATTTGGTCTTCATGGTTGATTGTCGAACAAACGTCCAATTCTTAGTACTGAATACAATCTAAAGCCGAGTTGAATACTTCCAAAATTTATCATCGAGCCAAACTTGAGAAGATGAACACATGTTCCAGTAATATCTATGTCATTCAGGTATTGACATAGCTTTAGGGTTGATCTATTCACTTGAATTGTTTTCCATTACCTTTAAAGGTAGTCCAATACTTATCTTACTTGGATTCCTTAATTAATCCAAGACATTTACTTAATTTAGGCCATAAGGGTATTTGGTAATTTTGATGTTCAGTTTTATTCCATTCATTTCAGAGCTCGAGGATATTCAATCATTCCTGAGCTTGGTGATATTCTTGGGTCATTTCTATTACAGGGGTATTTGGTCATTTTATAGATTCACGGTATTTCAATCTTTTCCTTCCATCCGATCTTATTATTTAATTCAATCTTATCATTTACTTCAGTCATTTCGAACAATTCTGACAGCAGAATACCCCGATAAATTACTCTTCCAGTATTTACTCATTATTCGAATATTTTCAGGTCAAGTGTCTTCTCAGACTTTACAAACGGAATATCATAAATTTTCCTGCACTAAGTCGGGATCTTAACAATTAAATCCGTACTTAATCGAGTTAAGTACGAATCCTCTAAGTATTTTCTCATTCAGAGTCATCTCAGACTATTCTACCTCTTAAGGGCATTTCCGTAATTTCTTAACCAGATAAGTTCGATATTAGCTCTTAACGAAAATAATATAATTTAGAGATCCTATGATAATTGCTTTCTTGAACAATCTCTGATCTTGAAATAATTCCCTTAACACTTCTAGTATCTTGCATAAACCCTCTGGGGTTAAAAACCGGTTATCCATAATGTCTACGTATAACTATCATTTTTATGCACATCAATATTTTTATCAGATCAATATGTCTGTAAAATCCTCTTATCTAACTTCCATATTCCAATCTTGTCTTTTTATAACACAAGGGTATTTTCGTAATTTTACCCTACCGGAGTATTTTCATAAATTCACATCCAAATGCCTTTAACATTTAACCTTTGATGAAATAAATTATAAGTTACAGATCCAGGTTGATTTCTTTACCACTAAGCACATAACTTGTAATTTAATTCTAGCAATCCCTTAATTTCTTATAAAAGTCATCTGAACCATAATCAATTACTGAACCTTTTTACCGTATTCAGATCGAGTGTAGAACTTCATTAATTACACATATGAGACCAAACATTTCCATTCATGCATTTACCAATACCAACATGTTCTATAAAGCATAAAGAGGTAGTAAAGTATTACCTCGATTTCCGTGCAATATCGATCGACCATAAAAATTCCATTCGAATGCCTTTGATCTTCAATTCAACTTCCAATAATTCCTCAGATACATATCAACATAAATTATATCAGAAACGGAGCTTAATTACGATAAACGGATCGAATCGGGTGATAAATCAGTGAAAGACGGCTTACCGGGATCGAATTTGGCGAAACGGACTTCGGATTCGGATTCAGGACGTCGAAAGCATAAAATATGACTTTTCAAAAATTTGGAATTTTCGGTCAAAATCAAAGTCAACGGGTTTGACCGGCAATTTCGAGACCTTCGGGTTCGAATTTCGAAAAACGGACAGCGGAATCGGATTTGGAACGTCGAAAAATGTCAGGATAGGTATACTCGGTCGAAGTCAAAGGTCGTTTAATGCCCGATCAAAGCCGGTCAAAGTTTTGGTCAACAGTGGTCAACTTCGGTCAACGGTCAACGGGTCAACGGGTCGGGTCGGGTAAACGGGTCGGGTAAACGGGTCGGGTCGGGTCAACGGGTCGGGTCGGGTTGTGACCGGTCAAACCGGTCAAAACAGTTTCAAAACCGGTCAAACCCGATCACTTTTCCCTTCCCCACGCGCAGTGGCGGCGCGTGAACAGTGATAAAATCCCGGAAAAATTTCTAAAAAATTATTTTGAGCGATTTCGAGATACTTACAAAGCTCGGTTCACAATTTTGAACGGCGGAGAGCTCGATTTCAACAAATTGGAAACTTTAACCGCTTCACCTCCACACGCGCCTCCGCCGTCGGAGAAAATGGAGGACACCGGTGGACTCGGAACGGCACAAGGAACACGATGGTGCGGGAGGTGTCGTAAACGGATGACCCGATCGTTGTGAATCGATGAAAAACCAACTAAAACCGAGTTATTACCGACGATACTTCCGACTGAAATTAACGACGAACGGAGATGATTCACGACGAAAGGTTTGAGGGGTTTTGTTCCTCGGTTGACAACGAACACGATGGTGGTTTCGGCTCGTCGATCGGAGGTCGGACGACGAGTAGATCAGAGTTCGAAGTAGGGAGAACGGGAGAGGAAAACTGGAAAATTTTCCGCTGAACCTGCGCACGGGGAACTTATAATTCAACATATATAAAAATTGGTTAAATCATGACTTTAGCCACTGAACTTCATGAATTTCTTAAAACGGTCTGCCATCTTTGAAATCTGACAATTTAATCCCCAAATTTCTTCCAAATACCAATTAAATCCACCACTTTATAATTTCTTAATTTTAGCCCCTAAATTAGGGTGTTACAATTTCTGAATTATTGGATTAAGATTTTTGGCTTTAGGAATTTTATGGTTGATATTTAGCTTACAGTCTCAATTAGAGGCAAGAGGAAATTGTTCACTGCCTCATTTGATTAGATATGCATTAACACAAGGAAAATTTATTAATTAATAAGTCTTGAAGTAATTTGTCATAGAATTAGTACAAATTTAAACTTGAAATTAGAAAAAAATTAAAAAAAATATTTTTTTTTCTAATTTCAAGTTTAAATTTGTACTTGAAATTAGAAAGATATTAAAAACTCTAGCAAAAAGTAAGACTTCTTCAAAATAAGCAAAAATATTTTCCTTCCCTTTGTTCAAACTAAGTCATGTGAGTGGCTAATAATTACCAAGTGAAATTAACTTATTACTTACTCGTATATACTAAAATGAGTTGAAAAATTAATACCGTAACCCAAATAGAGCGAATGGGTATTGAAATTTGAAGTGTAAAGTTATCCCTTAGCAGGCAGGAGTAAAATAAAGAGATTTTCATATTTTCTTTTGAAACTACATATTTTGACCCTTCTTTAAATTCTTATTTAATTTTAGTGGTGTCAAAAGAGAAAAAGCTACAATAAAAAATTGGTGTTATATACCTGTATAAATTCAGATTTTCTAGTGGGCCAGTGTGCCACTTCTGGGTATCCGAGTTCATGGAAAGTATGATGTTCCCAAATGTAGCAACAATGAGATTTTTGTGTTTCACCTTCCTTTAGGTTCTCCTAGGAAAATGATACATACGGCTTCGTAACTTGTGTTTTTGTTTGTTTGATCAGACAGAGCCATGCCAACATTTACTACTGTAGCTGCTTTGGATAGGTTGTTAGAATCTAGAGATTCTAAATCTGTTGATAGGTCTGGCTTTTATTCAAAACCACCTCCCTCTCCTAACTCAAAGCTTCGGAGGAGGAACAGTAGTACATCAGCAACAGAATGGAAGGTTAACCGCCCCCAAATTTCACCTGTTCTGTATGCTACTCCTGAAACAACTCAACTACCTGATTCACCATCCCTTTTCACTCCTCCTTACATCATAAATCATAAGCGCCATGGGCCTTCCCTTTCAAGGACCTCTTCTGACGTAATATCTCGGAGACGAACCCTTGAAGAAGATGAGTTTACCAAAGCAAAGCTGGCAGAACCTAAATCTGTTGATTTTTCAAAGGATAGTTCTGTTACTTTTAGCATTCATGAACCTAATAAAGAGAAACATCGAAATGATATCGATAAAGGCCCTGTCAATGTGGAGCAGGCAAATGTACATGGTGGCTCCATTCAAGATGAACACATGGATGGTGCTCATGATGGTAAATTTGGGATCAGTAATGGAGAAGTTGGAAGCTGCCTAATGAGTGATGCTTCGGCCGTGGATGGTGCTCTGTCGAAGGTCGGATCAGTGAACTCAGTCAGATCGGGTGATAATGAAGATTTCTTTGATCCTAACGAAACAGCAAGCGCCACCAGTACTACTGAGGGGGATCATACTGTGGCAGAAGTTGCTGCAAAATCTGCTAAGTCAGGGATAGATTTTTATGATGCATGTGACGGTATGTAGAGTGTTATTTTTAGCTCTATGTAATGTTCATGTGTGATGCATATCTATTAATATAGGTGATAAAATTTTAAAAACTTGATATGTATACTAGGAGCATGGTAGTATGAATTGTGCTGGCTTTCTTCTTTTGTCTCTATGGTATTTTTTACAGGATAACAATGAAAGATTTAACATATTCCTTCCATTTTTTATTTGCCCATGTTCATGTATGCATATTTCATTTCTGTCCTGTTTTGTCTTTTAATAGGAGACACTGTTTTTTAACTAATGCGAAATATGAAAACCTTTTTCCCATAGCCATTTGCTTGGTATTGGATTAGACAACTAATATGATGATTTTGTTGTCTTTTTGGCTAGCTTACCTTGATTTCTTGTTTCCTCCTGAATTATCCTCAGCGAGCGCACCGCAATCTGCAGTTCGCGACATCGAAGCTGAACTGCATGAAATAAAATCAAGTTTACTTGTGGAGATGGGGAAGAGGAAACAGGCAGAAGAAGCTTTGAACAATATACAATGCAAGTGGAAAACAATGAGGCAAGAGTTGGCTGTTGTGGGATTGTCACTGCCCGCGGATCTGTTCGATGTGACAGAGGATGAGCTGTTGAAACCAGTTGAAGAACTGAGGCAGCAAGAGAGTGTTACACGACTTGTATCTTTATCCGTGGGAAGAGGCATTGCGAGTGCAGAGATGGGGATGGAGATGGAATCTCAAATTCAATCAAAGAACTTCGAAATGGCGCGATTGTTGGACCGGCTACATTATTACGAGGCTGTGAATCGGGAAATGTGTCGGAGGAACCAAGAAGTTATAGGTGATAGTTCTCTATATATATATATATGTTTACATGATTTGTTTTCTGATTTTTGGAATTTAGCATTGTTTTGTTATAGAGATGGCACGGCGTGATAGACAAAGGAAGAAAAGATGGCAGAGATGGGTGTGGGGTTCCATAGCCACTGCAATTACCCTGGGCACGGTGACCTTGGCATGGTCTTACCTCCCAACAGAAAAAGGATTATCGACATCTTCTGCTGGCATTCCTCGTGCTTCTGATAATGATGATACAGCAACCACTAAGTGAGATAAATCTATTGTGATAACTGAACCCAAGTGCTGGTTTGTGTAGTCACTCGGTTAAAGGTGACATTAAGCAGTTTTGAAGTTCGAATCCAAATAACAGCCTCCTTTCCACCAAGGAAAGAAAAAAAAAAAAGGAGGAACATAATCATGGTCTGTCATGGTAGCCAGAGAATAAGATGCCTACATTCTTCCCTGTAATAATTATATAGCAATATTATTAAAAAATAATGATTATTTTGAAACTTTAAGACATTATTTATTGGTAAAAATAAAGTCTTAAAGCTTTGAATAATAAAATTATAATTTTATATTCTACTAAATTAAACCGTTAAAATGATATATAATATGCTCAAAATGATTAGTGATAATTGAGAAATTAATGCTCAAAGTAAATTATATAAAAATATTGTTGGGGAAAATGTGGCATCTTAAAACACTTTCATGTCACATTGGAAGAGTACACCGTTTGAAAAGTGTTTATAAATGAATATGCAAGTTAAAAGTGTTTATATGCGAAGGTTCTCTCTTGCACGCAGTTTGGAAAGTGTTTTTTTTATCGTGCTCCATACCTCAGTCGAAATCTCAGCCCCAACAATAAAAACTTTGAATTCCTCGTTCTATACAACATCACCATTCTCAAGAGTAACCGTTTCTGAATGTGGGCTGATCGCGCCTGTGAGCAACTTCTCCAGCCGATAACTCCGCACAGCCAGCAACACTTGCTGTTCCACAACAAGAAATTAAAGTCATCTAGAATCACAGTAATCCTTTTGTTGTTGAATATATTGTGAGCTTTTCCCGTCAAATCTTGATCAACTGCAGCATCACTAGTAGACGCAGAGTTACGCTGAGCATCGTCAACTCGAACACAACGATGTAGGAAACTAGATCAAAGCAAAAATTACCACAAGAACAAGCAGACCTCTACCGAATGCAGGATTAAAAGCGATCGATGCCATGTTGAACTTTGCACAAGAACTAGGGTCTCTTGATATACGCAGAATGGACTTTGAAGTAAAACAACTCCCTTGTGCTTTAACGAAAACTGTATTACAATCTTAATCACACTTAATGAACAAGCTCATGCATTTATCGTGCCAAGCTAGCTTCCTCACCATGCAACCACTCTACCGTTGAAACTGCTTAAGAGATTCTCAAACAACCCTAACCGCTTAACAGACTCCTTCAACTAACTCCCACTTAGCTCATACGTCAACATATATGGATTAAACCTAGTGCTAAGGTTTTACACCTTGGAGTTGCGTCTGACACAACTGTTTCTCGTGTATCTGATATTGTTGGTCCTACTGGTGTGGTTTATGCAGTGGAATTTTCTCAAGGAAGTGGTCAAGACTTGGTTAACGTGACCATAAAACAAACAACGTTATATCTATCATTGAAGATGCTAGGCATCCGGCCAAATACAAGATTCTAGTTGCATGGTGGATACGATATTTTTCTGATTTTGCTCAGCCTGATCAGGCCAGGATTCTTGAATGCATCATTTTTCCTGAAAGCAGGGGGTCGGACTGAATTGTTCTCGAAAGGAGGGTGATTATAAGATATTATCTTTTCAGAATTTTCTTGAACAATTGATAATACACACCTTCTATATACAACTGCTCAAACTCACAGCTTTAGAAAGAGCAACATTCTCTTTACTACTAGGGCAACTTAATGAGTTTACAAGTAAGTACTTTTAAACATAAATCTTAAAACGAATAACCGACGTGAGAGTATAAAAAATAAATTATTATATAAATTGGTAGACGGTTGAATGATTATATTCAGCTAAGATTTTATAAAAATTGGAACCACTCTCAAGGTAAAAATGATCTTTCTTCATTAATGTTTTGTATGTTTATTTCGTGTATATATACTGTACCCATCCTTATTGTTTTTATCATCGCATCAAGAACTTTTTTTTTCTTCTTAAGAAAATTTTATCTACAATTATAAAAGAGAATTTGATTTTAAAATGTGTAAATTAGGGTTTCTCTAAAAACTAAGGTCCTCTTTAAAAAAATCAAATGTCAATCAAAATTACTATCCCGCGTGGCCGAAATGTGCCAGGTCAATCAGATTAACACTCCATATTAGCATTTAGTGTCAAATTTATAGTTATAAATTGATAACGTTAGTGACCGAATCTTTATTTTTAAAATATCAGCGATAGTAAATAAATTTACACAAAATTCAACGATCATTTATATAATTTACCCTATTTAAAACATTTTTTGGTCCAAAATGCTGCGTTTTGTCCATGCGAATATAATCAAAATTCAAGATTATCCAATTGCCTAAAATCGCGAAAATGCTGAACCAGTTCCAGTTAAGCTGCCTATCAACAAGCGGAGAGAACAGCAGCAAGACACGGGCGGCGGTAATGGAGCTAATCGCTATGCACATTTATACGGCGTTAGCCAAAGACTGTTTCTTAACGGCCAGAGATAGTAAGCCTTCTATTTTCCCTCACAACGTTCGAAATCGTCACAGAAAATCGCGGTTCAGACCCCAAGCTCGAAAAGCCAGTTCCAGGAGCTGGAATCCGAACAAGATTTCCAGTATATATTTCATCCAACAAGTACTTGAAACTTGAAAGAGATAATTCATTGAAGATTCACAAGAACTAGAAGAAGAAATAAGCGGTGACGATTCGTCTTTGAGCGAAAAGCCAGATAGGAACATGGCTTTGCTTGACGATTACGAGTTGGAAGAGCTTGATTTTTCCTCTCCAACTAACCATCGCAGCGGTTCGCAACCTTAGCTCATTGTTCCTCTTTTTGTTGTTGTTTAATTCTCTGTTTCTTTTTATTAAGTCTTTCAAAAAGGATATCGTTATTCTTTCCTCCTTGTAGATACGAAAGTAAAATCTAGCTTTCGTTATTTAAAAGCATATTGTTTTACAGTCGAAAAACACGTTCTCCTCTTTCATCTCTTTATCCAAAATGCAAAAAGTACCATAGTTCAAAAGATGGTAAGAGTGAGAACGGCTTGAATTTTTACGGATTAAGCTGAACTCCTTTTGTTGATCTAAGAACTCGTCAAAGATTAAGTTATCTATGTCTGTTTTATATCTTGATGGCGTGTCAAATACAGGGTATGTTGCTGTTCTGGGAAAACCCAATGTTGGAAAGAGCACACTTGCTAATCAAATGATAGGTCAGAAGTTGTCTATAGTCACGGATAAACCCCAAACCACCAGGCATCGAGTTCTTGGTATATGTTCAGGCCCAGAGTATCAGGTTTGAAGATTAGTTCTTTTGTTATAACTATTGTTTGCCATGCTTTTGGTCATATTTTTTGGTATTGTATGCTTGTAGCAATTTTTTTGTCTACTTCCTTGATGAGTTTGGGCAATCATGTTCCATTTCTAATATATATGATCCCGAGCATTACTTGCAGATGATACTGTATGATACTCCAGGTGTTATGAAGAAGAAAATGCACAAATTGGATTCTATGACGATGAAGAATGTCCGAAGTGCTGCCTTAAATGCTGATTGTGTACTTGTTTTTGTTGATGCGTGTAAAGTGCCTGAAAATGTATGCTTCATGGTTTTTACATTCTTTGTTAAACATTCTACCTTTTTCTAAGTTCAGTTTCTTACATCTAGATCAATGATGTGTTAGAAGAAGGCGTAGAAGATCTCAAGTGTACACTGCCCACACTACTGGTTTTGAATAAGAAAGATCTGATAAAACTCGGTGAAATAGCAAAAAAACTTGAGGTAAGGTTCTGCCGAGTTTTGTATGTGCTTTCGTGTTGAATTTTCTTAAAATTTAAGATGCACATTTGTCAATGTCACTTGTGGTTTGTTGAGAAATAAATGAACTTTTGTATTAACTGTCTGTTGGCAGATGTAGAATAAAGACTGAAAGCCATGGCTGTCCTGGCCAATTTTCATTCCAATGATTAGGGTATTTGTTTTACCTTGTCTCAAAAGGCTGTGTTCCTTGCAATTGAACTACCATGTAATATGCATTAATAATTATCTATTTAGTTTTTCTTGTTGTAGTCTAGTTTTTTTTTTGGAATTTATGTTGCATTAAATGAAACAAAGAAGACATGATTAGTCCAACATTGTCATAAATGTTGCTTAGACCCTTAACCATAGTTTTCAGAGGTGCGCTCAAAATATTTGGAGCAGTGACTTGACTTCCCCACATTGTTATCACCACCTAGCATGCGAGTTCAACTTTCACTCATTATATTGTTAAGTTGATTCCTTATGTCCTGCATTTTAGCATTAGTGGCTCTGTGAATTGGTCTTTGCCTTCAAGGTCGAGTTCCTAAATAGAAATCTTATGCCTTGCAGTGGTATGAGAAATTTACTGATGTCGACGAGGTCATACCTGTGAGTGCAAAGTATGTGCATGGGATAGAAGATGTCAAAGATTGGATCCTGTCAAAACTTCCTACTGGCCACCTTACTATCCAAAGGCATGTAGAAACTCAACAGATATATCTGCTTTTCTATTCCTCACCAGCTTATCTTTGAGAATGGAAAATGGTGGTATTTCTTGTTATCAGGAATGTTACCTTAATCTTGTCAAAATTTGAATTTATTTATTACTAAAATGAGAAATCATGTTATGGAATTAAGCTTTATCTAATATCTTTCAAAGCAAACAGTAGCAATTGATTTAGATACCTTTGTTTTGCTTATATTGAACTTAGTTTACTACAAATGTACCCAGACTCAAGTGGTGCTAGATTACAGTTGTGTTGTATACTTGAACCCTGTTAAGCAATAATGAGGATTGTTGATGTTCTGGACTAGTTGAAAGGGAAACATATTGTGAGCATAGTTTTGAAAGGGCATTCAGTTAAGCTTCTAACTCATATAAATTAGGGATATGATATGATTTCAAAGTTGCACTTATGTCAATAACCTAGGATTTTATTTGGCATCGTGCTAATTGTTGCCTCCCTTTAAAAGAAAATTTTGGCCCAACTTTTGGTGGGACTTAAAAAATGAACTGCTTCTTCATATGAACAGTGCTTGTTGTTTATGCATTTCCAGGA